GGGAAAACGGGAGCATGATCATTTATATCTTGTATTTCGATAGTAATGGAAAACAATTCGAGTGGCTCTTCAAGAACAATTTCCAGACTAAAGCTGCACGGAGATTTCTTAGCGCATAATCGTTCTCTGTCAATTCTTTCATTGACAACGATATGGCCTTTGTTCTGGTTCAGCACGACATATTGATTATCATCTTCTATTACCAGTCGAGCTCGACCAGATACCAACCGTCTGACATCCAAGCCCAGGTCTTTTGCAATGTCCCCGACAAAGAGTCCTTTCCTCATCTCTTCTGGTATAGAATAGCGGATTTGTCCAGTGACAGCAGCAACCACAAAGAAAAGCAAAATGGAGACGTTCCACTGACGCAGGGTACCGTTGTGCTTCATATTATCCATTTCTTCCCAGTAATATCAGGTCCAAAACAACACAGTCATCGGTACAGAAAGCTCCAGCGATTTATCATAGAGGCTTTGCAGTGTGTACAGTCTTCTTTTAAATTTACCCAAAGCCACGACAGCTTAATAGCCATCGCCTATCTCCTTTAAAGACGGGTGGTGACTTTGTGTCTTTAATACGCATTGCACAAGTCTGCTTAGGCAACAGCACCACCAGCAGTGATGAACTAAAACGGCAGGTGTCTGAGCACTGATGCTCCACTGTTTAGCCTTTCCTGACTACTACATACATTGTTTTTTAGCAACACCCATGCAAAAGAAAGCAAAATCTCGATAAGATCTCGATAAGCATAAATAAAAAGATAAACGAATAAGTTAAATAAATGAAGCATATTTTTTCCATAACGGGTGATTAATATACTGTCTGTTTTATTATTATCTCTGTTTACAAGTCATCTTATGACCACCTAAGTAGGTCCAAAATTTGCCGTGAATGGAGTGGGCTGACAGCAACAACAACGTTTTCTGATACAATATATGCAGCAGACTAAAAAATATAAGAGATTGAGCGAATTCATTTGACAAACATTATGTTGAGACTGAAGTGTGGACAAACACACAGATTCTGTGTAAAACCATACTGAGCTGCATATCTGCAGAGAGAGGCAGGCTGACAGATGGTTACATAGATAAATGAACAAATGTATACAAAGATACAGTAGAGAAGGAGTGGATAGATAGACGGATAGATAATCTGATCTAATCTAACTGATGAGTCCAATGACCTAGATTTGAGCAGTGGAATCAACATTGAAAGTACTGCTACACTCATCCAGAGGCATGAAAAAATAATGACACATTTCAGAGCAGTATGTTTTTTGTTTTTTTTTGGTTTGTTTTCTTTTTTGTAGAGCTGAAAGGAATGGATAAATTTGATAGGTTTTGATACTTGTCCTGGCA